AAATCACAATAGACATTTATACACCATTCGATAGAGAATTTCAAGGGCTATATTTTGCACTATTTTGTTTTCGAAAAGAAACAAAGTCACTTTTCCGCCTAATGTCCGCCTGGATGCCCACTGTGAGTTGGTTTTGAGGTTACAAGTGCCAGAATGAACTCACAATAAAAATATAACAAAATATATAAGAAATAGAGTTTACAGTGCAAGTTTAAATTTGCTATAAAATAGCCAAAAACTAAGAAAGTACTAATTCATTTATAGTAAAAGTGCAACTTATTCCTTGTTTGATCTAATGGTAAAAAAATAAAAACAGTTTAGCTACTGTAGTTTTCGAGTTATTCGACACAGAGCTAGATCCGGTTGAGAAAAGATAAACCGGTCCGGTCAGGTCGGTTGGAATTATACCTCAAATCGACGAAAACCTGGCGAAGTTTTTTGAAAATCAGAAAGAATTTCTCCCAGCAATGAAGTAGTTTACGAGTACATGTGAGAGAATTTTCACAATAACGAGTGACAGCAATTTTCTCCAAACCTATATGTCAGTTCTCGACAACTATTTCTTGAAGACAACCCACTTACTACTAGTCAAATGAAAGTGTGAAGGTTTTCAAGTGGAACCTTCAGAAGAAGGTTCGCACAGAAAATCATTTTTTACTAAGAAAAAAATTTTGCTGATATAACATTTAAAAATGTTTCTTAAGCATAGAAATGTATTATATATGTAAATATTTGAGCAAATCACAACCAATAAAGGAAAATTTGGACCTAACGTAGAAAACTCAAAAACGTAGAATATTTTTCCTCGTCTAAATTATATGTTCTTCTACTATCCCATACTACTATCGGAAAGAACATACATGCAGATATACATCATCTACAGGGTGATCCAAAAAAAACTTACCTCCTGTGTATTTATTGACTTTCTTGTGTACAAATATAATTGAACTTTTTACCATTAGTTTATTCAAATAGAGCAAAGATTTCTGGACGAAATGAGACGTCTCCGAGCTCTCTAAGAACTTTTTTCATAAAACAGCATTGAATTTACAGAAGGTCCCAAGAGCATATTTTTCTTGTTTGTCCATTAATTGTCCCGATTTTGATGGTATGGGATCTTCCGTAAATTGAATGCTGTTTCATGAGAAAAGCTCTTCGAGAGCTCGAAGACGTCTCATTTCGTCCAGAAATCTTTGCTCTGTTCGAATAAACTAATGGTAAAAAGTTCAATTATATTTGTACACAAGAAAGTCAATAAATACATAGGGGGTAAGTTTTTTTTGGATCACCCTGTATATGATAGTTTTCAAGGCATGCCAATCGTACTCAACGAACGGAATGTAAAGTGTCGACAATCCAATTTTCCTCTTCTCATCTATATCTCAATTAATAAAATCCTCGAATGTCGAGAAAAATGAATATTTTTTTCACCAGCAATAGAATATACAAAAGACACCGCGTACTTTTTTTTCTCATGAAGAAATATTCTACCTTTCAACTATATAAACTAGATAGATTTTCAAAATGCTTCTCTAAGCATTGATTAGTTTTCCTCATGAATTTTTCCATCATTTTAGGTTCAGTTAATATAAAATGTAGGCTTTTTTGTAACCAGTTTTCTATGAAAAATCAACATAAAACAGTTTCAAAATGTAAAATGAAAAATATCTACAAAAATTAAGTCCATTTTTGAAAATTTCAGTATATTTGACCTATTTCAAATATTTTTACATTTTATTGTACGAAAATCATTATCAATTATTATCATCAATAATAATATTGTTCTATAAAATATTCGTATGTCATTTATTATTAGACTAAGAAATTTCCTATTATTACGGTAGAAGCCTAAAATGACAATTAACTATTTTTTAGCAATTTCTTTGTCATGAAATATGTCTTTAAATGCACGCTTATTTGTTCTAGTTGTCAATGAAATTAACAATGAACAATGAAATTAATCCATTCTCATTCTGCTTTGATTTTATTCGTTAGTATTTGATTATGTTGATCATTGATTTTAGTCTATTATAGAGACTCTGTAAATAATTTGTTCTTTTATCTTCATTTTCCAATATTCTCACTAATTCAATAAATTTAACTAATAGATAACTCTTTACATATCCATTTAAATTATGATTTTAATGAATAAATATGTTCTCTCGTAGGTAAAATGAATGCAAATACTATACGCTTTATTCAGTAAGTAATAATTATCACATATTTAAGATTTTGTAATTTTCAAAAATATTCATATTAATTCAATACAAACGTTGCTATTCAGCCTGTCCAGCTAACGATCAACCAGCATGATCACAGTTTAATACTGAAATTCTCGAACGCGAAACAATCGATCGTATTCATTTAAGGTTTTTATGTAGGTTTTCGTATATTTTGCGTCGATTTCTCTCATTTGTTTTTAATAATTACGAGAATAAATGGTAGCTACCAGCCAAAATTAAGCATTTTTTGTGCAAAAATGACTTTAAAATGCTCGTTTGTCTCTTGTCATATTTCGAACACTATTTTTTCTCTGACAAAAATGGAAACATTAATAGTCATGTTGAAGCTCAAGCTATGGCTTGGCATCAGTAGATCACCTTCTATTACCGTCAATGTTGTAAATATATGATTTTTAGAGAGCTCTAAAAAACCGCATGAGTGCGTTACCAAAAATGTGACTACTGCAATGTTTTTAGTGTAATTCCTGATTAGAAAAACATTTAGAAATATTCTTTTTTTTTCTCGTAAAGCCCTTTTTCTTAGCTATCAAATCATACAAAAACTTCTATTCCATTGTGGAGAAATTTGCAGAAAATTCAACTTTTTGCGTTGTTCTGGAAAAGAAGGGCCTTTTAAATGAGTGCGTTACCAACATTTGTAGTATCCACAGAATCGCAACGATAAGTCCAAATAAAGTGTTATTCAGCTACGTACTAAACATTTATGTTATCTACGTATACGGCAAGTTTTGCATTTCCATGTGTCATCGTTGCGAAAATATGGCAACCTGAAGATGAAAAATAGCGGAGTGCGTTACCTATGGACAGGTCGTATTGCTCTTATACATGTTCAACACAACTTTCACTCGTTGTGAACACTAACGTCAAACAGAAACAAAAATTACGTTAAACTTTTGTTTAAAGTTTTCTATTTTATTTTCAATATATGACTTATGATTGCACATTAATCTAAAAGTGTATTTTTACAGATTATTCATTAGATGCTGCTCTATTTATTTTTAGACATAATTTATCTGTTTTATAAATATTTTTTTTAAATTTTTTAATTAAACGATAGAAAGAATAATGTTAATGAATTATCTTTTAAAAAGTGATGATTGTCAAGACTATAAATATGAACAAAGTATGAAAGCAAACATTTTTTTGTTTCCTCTAAGTGGCTCATTCTTAACCCTTTCGGGACTGGATTATTTTTTCGAAAAAGAAGAGAACACCGCCGGATAGAACGGCAAATCTGCCGCCGCTCCGAAATTTTTTTGACATAGCCAGCGTTAAAGAGCGCATTTTTCTGCATAGGTTTCCACAATTGGTATAGCATTTTATTGAAATTGTCCTAGTAGAAATGGGAGAGTTTCGAAAGGCCCGATACTTGTCCACAGACGAGAGGGTCACTGTATAGTGTTTTTGAAATATATGATGCGCTTTAACTTTCCGCGATGGTTAATCCTATGGTTGGATGCAGCTTTCTTTCCTCTACAAAATCCCATTAGGCACTTAACCCTTTCAGGACCAACTTATCCCTCTCAGGGCCAACTTATTTTGAGCAAAAATTACAAATTTTTTAACTTTTCAAAAATGATTTATTTTTTCCAGATTCATCTAACCCTCTAGCCATATCTAGAATGTAACTGATGAAGCACGAAAGTGTAAAAAAAGCAGACGCAATGTATACTTCAAAGAGACGCGAAAAAAATTCGAATACTGACGCGTCAGATCACGTGAAATTTCAATGACGTCTCGAAAGGGTTAATTGAGATCATTATTTTTCCACTCACTCTCATTTTATGCACCTGTTATTTTTCTTTGATGTTAATTTTTATGTTACACTTTATATCAAAAAGGTAATCTCAATTAAGAAGCCTCGCTCTAAGTATCGAGATTCTTCCACAACATTTTATGAACAGTAAAATCTATTATTAATCTTATGCGATCCTCTTCTTTTAATCAACTAATTGCTGCTTTCAAATTCATTGTGATTATTTCATTACTATAGTGTTTTACCATTCGAATTGTTTAGTTAGAATCTGATTTTATATCTAAATCAATCAAGTAGGCGTTGATCGAACAAAGGTATATATTATTCCCAGATGTTAATAGATCTATTATTCCTGTTATGAAGCGAATAAATATATCTTATATCACATGGGAATTTTTCCAGTGAAGAAAAATAAAAATTCAGTTTTATGTAACGCAATTGTATTATATTTTATTTTGTTTTTTTTCAAATTGAATTGAATCTTATTAAGAAAACTTTCTTTCCAATGTTTTTTTCTCATATTGGCTATAATACACAAACAAAAAAAAAAAAACGAATAAAACTGTTATTTTATACACAAATACATATTACATTCTCAAAGATAGAGAAAGTAATAATCTATTTGTGCACGGATGATGTAATTGATTGTTGTTCTTGTTTTCTCTCCTATTCTGTCTCATTAATCGGACTTTGTATGTCTTTTTTCTAATGTTTGTTATTGTCTAACATTGGATCGTGTTTATCAATATTATTTTCATGAATTAAATTGGAACCACGTTTCCAAAATGCTCGATGTGGAACACGTTTCCAAAATCTTGATACACCACGAGCATTTAAACCATGATCAATACTATCAAAATGATTCCAATCAAAATCACCATCATTATTGTTGTATAATGAATAGGCACTTGCTGTCAATGTTACGCCAAGTAATGAAAAGATCACAAATAGACAAATGATCATGAATGTCGGACGCATTTTGTTCTAAAATAAATTTTAGTAATGAGCAATATTTTCAAAGATTCTTCTGGAAATAAAAAAAAACGTTAATTTGCCACACAGTATAAGTCTTTCAGCCGATGATGTATGTTCGATGTATTTTCGAAGAGTTCACAAATCACTGGATACCAGTTCTGACGCACACAACAAACAATTCTATATTATGCCAAAACAATGAAAATGAAAAGCCTTTCATTGTCATTTTGAAGAGCATATTTTGAGCTATCTATCTGTGTAAAAAAATTCAGTATATTTCTACATAAAATTTTCAAGTAATAAACTAACTTATCAAAGATCTTATCAAATTCGTACTAGTGACACTTTAAAATTTTTTGTGTCATGAAAATGTACGTAGAAGTCTTAGCTTTCGAGTGACAAAAACTGCAGGTCTCTAGTTTCTTTCACCGAGTGTTTCTAAACTGAGTGCTCTTCGAGTGAGGATGCGTTCATAGTAGGTGAAACATAAATATTCTCAGCATATTGGAAAAATGAAAAATCCATTGGAAGTGCTGTGGAAACCCTGCGAGAGTCCTGATGGAATGAAATCCTCAAGAAATTTAATCACCGTTTTGTTTTAGCCAGTCACATAGTACACATAAAACCTATCGAGTGTATGAAAAAAATTCAAAATTTTAAAGTCTTAGTTACACTAGAAGTTTTCTATTGTAAGGACAGTTTATACTAGTCTCAACTATCACTTGAATAATATCATATCCAAATGCAATAAACAATAATTAGGAAAATTAGCGTGAGTCTCGTCGTAATTCTATGGGCTTTCGTTACGGGATTCTCGGGAGATTTTTTACAGGATTCTCGAATAGAAATAGTTGTTCATGAGTGACAGTATAGTCATGTGCAAGACTGATTTTCAAAACAACTTTTACTTGATTACTTTCTTTAGAGAATGAATGAAGTAACAAAATATATAAGTGCCGTGCCGATTAGTTGTTAAGAAAAACATTTATTTATTAAACAAACTTTCGGTGTGTGTAACTCATATCATCGTTTTCAGACTAAAAACTAATTATATACATGTACAGGAGTGACATATTTTCATTATTCTGGAACAAAATTTGTCTTATATGTCTAGAATAGAGTTGTAAATATGATATTGAATATTTAAGCTATTATCATGATATTTTATTGATCAATATCGTTTGAGTATATGACACATATATTTTCCAGAACAATGAAAACTTATCAATTCTATATATTAGTTTTAATTCAAAAATTCAGCCATTCAATTTTTTATGTTATTTCACACTTAGATTGTTTGTTGTTATGTTTTCTTTTCTTATATAAATAAAGTGACACATGTATGTTGTTTTTTTGCACTTTTACATTTTCGATTACAAGTCGGATACGGTTATGAAAATCGTAGCATATTTCTAAACTGAGGAGAAATAAATACTAAAGTTCTGTATATAAAATCTCTGCAAATATATTATTTTTTGCTTACATACCTTGTTTTATTAATTTTCCCACAGATTTATTTTGTACGTGATTTTGTTCGTAATAAGACTGATAATGGTACTGAAATAATTTCAATAGATTTAGAACTGCTTGTCTCTATCTTTTTTTTTCTGTTCTTTTCTTATTATTCTCTTCTTTTTTTTTTTTCTGTCCGATTCAGAAGACAAGACACACATATATTGAACGATTCGAAAATGTAATCGAAAATAATTTTCATATTGTTTCCAATTGCGGATGTTTAAATACTTAGTATTCTTAACGGAAATTATTTTAATCGATCAAAAAAGAAAAAATTGAATTCTAATGTTTAGTTTGATCTCTTTCGCTATCACATTTCCTGATTTTATAGTGACATCGATCTTTTGAGAGTGTACTGCATATTCATACATTGAGGAAAAAAAAAATCGTACCTTCTAGAGAAAATAAGATCTACATAGATCTGACTTCGTCTCGGAGTCAGACACACTAAAACACAAATAATATACGGAAAAAGTGAGTAATACAATATAAAAAACAATTAGAATAGTCTCATTAGACAATTCAAAAATGGATGTATCAGTAATGCAATGCTTCATCACATTCATTTCAGTAGAAATATAAATTATTACTGTTGATCATAATATGATCAGAGGTGCAACTGATCAACAAAACTGTGACGGGTACCAAGCAGATATTTGTAGATCGAACCGGACCCACCGATTGACGGACCATTTTTCTAAGAATTATGAACGGTTATTCAGGTTTTCTAAGAGCTCTTGTGAGATGGTAGTGACTATAAGAATAGTGTTGATCTGCTTCATTATTTGAATTAACAAGAAGCTACACCAGATATCACGCGATTTTAAATTTAAAACCATTCGAATGAGTGCGAAAGAAATATGCTTAATTCTGTGTGATATGTTAGTAAATAAAATCAGACTGATAAAAATGTCCATCCTGACAAAAATCCAGTTTCGGAAAAAAGAATTGTTTATACTTTATTATAATGTTAGGCGTAGCTAGTAAACAGTAATTCATTTTATTATATCTATATGTATTATGAATATACCAGAAAAATATGACTATTTAAGCAGAGAATAATGAATGCAATTATTTGCTTTTGTTGACTATTACAAAATGCTACTAAATATACCTTTTTTCTGTCATATTTTTTAATTATAAGCTGACTCGGTACAGCTATTTGACCGGTACCGGATCGGACCAGATTGAAACGGCCAATTACATCTCTGAATATGATCATGTGAAGTACATGAAAAGAATACAAAAAAATTTATCACCATATCGTTTCGAAAACTCCTCATTAGTCGCCCAACTTGCTATCATTTAGACTATTTTTCTATTTAGGTTAAGGAGTCCGCAAGTGTACTACCGCTTTTTGTATACAACACATGTAAGCATACGTAATCAATGATGCTGATTTGAAATAACATAGTGGGAGCTCTAGAAAGCTACCAAGCCCAAATTATTTCTTGGCAATATTTCGATTTTGATTCTACCAGTTTGTAGAGAACGTTAAGTTACCTATGTGAGAAACTTTTCATGTCGATAGAATGAATATTAACAGAGTTATAGTCAGTTTAATTTTCGATAGTGGCATAATCAGATAAGCGTGAGCTGTCCTAAAAGAAGCACAAAGCGTTGGTGAAACCTTGAACGTGGGGCCTGTCCAGCTAACTGTAATTCCGTAACATTTTTTGGTGATTTTGTTTTATTTGCAGAAATTTTTCAAAAAGTCAGGACTCAAAAGCGAATGACCATTTTGTAGACAATTCAATTCTCTATCGACTGATCTGGTTTTGAAAAGTTTTAGCGAAAATTTCTTGGTTAGGAAATTCAAAACAATGAGAGCCGTTTTACTAAATTTATAAAAAAGATATGCAAAAAGTAGCTCTCAGTGTTTTGAATTTCCTAACCAAGAAATTTTCGCTAGTTAGTCAATAGAGAATTGAATTGTCTACAAAACGGTTCATTCACTTTTGAGTTCTGACTTTTTGAAAAATTTCTGCAAATAAAACAAAATTACCAAAAAACGTTACGGAATTACATGCGCAGGTAGAGTTCGCTGGACAGGCCGCATGGATTCAGACTTACTCTGGAAGAATATTTAAGTCAATTTCTCTTTTGTGAGTTCTGTTATTCTGTTTATGTTTTTTTGTTTTCTCTTCCTTTTTTCGCAAATTCGTTGTTTTGTCAATAGCTTTTGCAGTTTACCTCTGTCAATACTCATTCTATAGTCATGAAACGCTTCTTATATAGGTAACTTAACGTTTTCTACAAATTGGTAGAATCAACATCGAATATTGCCAAGAAATGGTTTGAGCTTGGAGATCTAGTTTTCTAGAACTCTCACTATGTAATTTGGAATCAGCACCATTGGTTACATACCCCTACATCTATTTTATGGAAAAAGTGTTGGGATACTTAGGGATCATCCTTGTAAATTCTTCATTTTTCGAAAATGAGCCAGACATTTAATAATTCATGTAATAGTTACTGTATAAAATGTCTTTAAACTTTAACGTTTGAAGGTTTTAGTCTGAATAACTATTGTGTATATTACGGCGACAGAACTTAGAAAATATCCATGTAATTCATATATACCTCAAGAATATTTCCATTTATAGAGTTATATCCAAAGACAGAGCACTCCTGTGCATAACTCTCAAAAAGTTCATTCTCAAGTGGAATTTTTCCTGTTTTCTGAAAGAGAGCTTTCCACTCTTCTAAATATAACAATCTGTTAATCAATAGCTATTCACTAAAGCAATTGTGATAATTGAAGTAAAAGTCAAATAATTTGATGCATAATTATTTCTAAGAGAAAAAGGTTTGACACAGAGGAGACTTCCTTTTCAAACCACTGAACCGTTGGACAATTGAGGCTATCGCTTCAAAACAATTTTGTTTTTGAAAAAATAGTTTTCATCGGTGATATTTATCTAGAAATAATTTCTACTAAGGACATTAACGACTGGTTTTCATGCATTTTTTATGGAATTTTTGTTCATTGCTTTTTACAGCAAAATAAAGTTTCTTTTTTTCAGAAATACTGTATAAATTTTATATATAAAAATAAGAAAATAACAATTTATAAAAATAAAATCAGATCTTAAACAAAAACAATTAAAACCAACAAACAAATAATTATGTTGTGTATTTAATCATGCAATACTGAGAGAAGGTTTAAGGAGAAAGGGAAAATATCTTGATTGAAATATTACTTATTATTATTGCTTTTCAATGTGATATGTCTTAAGATCAAATAGATTTTAACTGTCGATTTACCGAAATCATTCTACAGGACTTAATTCATATACGACTATATGGTATGGATTCTCGGATTATGTCTTGTTACAGAGTTACAAGTCAGTTTTGGGAATAATGGATGACATCGAACTATGTTATTAGGATCGGATATTCTCTCGTACTTAAATTGTTCATAAATGGGTTTATGAAGGCGTTCATTCTCACCGGAATTTGTGTTGATACAACTGATACCACAATGA